TGTTGGCTATTTTTTGGTCAGTGTTGAAGGCTGTCTTGATATTGTGTTTGTGGAGAATTTTGCTGATTTTATCTCTCGTGTGTGTGTGTGTGTGTGTGTGTGTGTGTGTGTGTGTGTGTTTGTGTTAGAGAGAGAGAGAGGAGAGAGAGAGAGAGAGAATGGAAGCTATTGTCATGTATTTGAATCTGGAAAAGTAGGGAATGGAGTAGATTGGAGGCAATCCTAAATTTTTTAATTGTAGCACTAGTATTTTTAAAAGAAAATATAATCTATTTTAGTTTATACGCATGTCTCTCTCTTTCTCATGTTTGTGTACATTTCTCCCTGGATATCTTGAAACAAAGGCATCACATGTTAAATGGCAGCAGAATTAAGTACATGCATAGGTTTCTTCATAACTTAGTTATATACCAGTGGGTGCAAGAAAGAAATCTTGCAGTTGTTATAATTACCAGACTTTCAAGATTTTGGGGGGTAGGGGGCAGGAAGAGGGACTTGCATGCCTAATGGCTAATTTGAATTTGTCCCTCATAATATGTTAAATAAAACAGGTTTCTCTCAAAAATGGTGCTTGGATCTGTTGCACATACTGTAAGGTAACCAGCCTGATTCAGGATCCATTGTTTGCATTCATGGTTTTTCCATGAGTAAAAGATTCCTTATCAATATCATTATGAGGCAGATATTTTATTGGGATGAGTGCATTTTTATTAAAGAGATGATGCAATTCGGTTTCTAAATTTTTAGGTCTTATCCTATTCCAAGTGATTTAAATGCTGATACTGTTGTATTTAACATATGAATGCAATCTTTTCCATTTATAATGTTCATTTTTACTAAGAAACCTGACAGGGTGTACATTAAATTTTGAAGTGTGGTGAAAATTTGCATCTGTCGCTTTATCTAAATGAAGATCAATTGATTCAAAAAAAGGCTGACTATTGACTACGAATTATTGTGTTCCTAGGATAAAAGAGCCAAGTTACAAGAACAGCTGTGCAATTCGGATCTCACTTGGAAGAAAATAGTAACATTTGTTGATGAAAACACACTCAAGGAACAGCAGCAATCTGTACATGGTGATTTAAGGACACTATTTCATGCTGCCAAACAAATAGGTAAGTAGGGTATTGGATTGGATACAATAGCAACAGGCAATTGACCCTTGATTTAGGTAGGAATTGAAACTTTATTTATTTATTTAAAAATTTTATGCCCAACTCCGTCTCAATGACTCTAGGTGACTTACAAAGATAAAATTCCAATACAAAAGCCAATAATTCCCCATCCTCCTGATAACATTGGTTAGTCCAGCCACTTGATGGGCTCCATATAATTCTGGGAATCCCAGGCCCATTGTCAGAACCATATCTTCAGGGCCTTGTGAAATAGTGTCAAACTGGAATTGGGGAGCACATTTGATTTGGCCATTCTGGGCACGACCTAGAAATTTCCACCACATTTTGTCTCTAGAGGTAGAATATTTTGCAAGAACCTTCACTGTAGTTACAAATAAATGTTCTTCCTTCTGCTGTCACCTTTGTGAGTTATACATTTTAATTAACAATAAAATTGTTGTTGTTAAATTTATTTGCTGATTAAAACTATTTTAAGCTTATTGCTTCCATTCTCATGTTTTAAAATATCCATGTGTATGGCACTGTTTCAAGATGTTTATACAAAAAAAATCACCCGATAAAATCCCATCAAATGTAGTTGTTTTATGAATAGTTAATTTGTCAAACTTGTTGTTTTTCTGCTTTTGTTTTCCTACATCCAGTGGGATCTGAGAATGGCGAAGAAGCAATTGAAAGTGGCGCTTCCTTCCTTTTTAAAATGCTTTACGCCAAAGACTGTATTGGTCGTGATGAGACTCAAGCCATTAAGCAGGTCTTTGGACCCTTTCCCCCATCCTCTGCCACTGCAGCATGTAATGCCATCAGTCGGATTGTTTCACATTTTACCGAAGAACAGCTTGCTGCTCTTCTGCAAAGTTCTGAGGAGTTAAACAGTGATTCAAAGCTGTCCTTTGGCAGAAATATTGCATTTTCTTTTGAAATGCACGATTTGGACGACTTTGAAGAATTGCTGATAAATGGTGAAATGGATGACCAGAAAGTCATTAGCCTGGATTATGAGAAGATTTTTAATAACCAATTTGAACATTATCCAAATAACTGTGGTGAAAATGCTGACGCGAAGTCTTCTGGGAAAGTAGATGATAGTTTCCTGTGGTGTGAAGTTGGGAAGTATCTGAATGATTCCCTGCAAGGAAATAATACAGGCCCAACACTGGAACATCTTTGCTGTACTTTGTATGAGATGCTTGCCTCCCATAAAAGTGGTGATGAGCTTCAGAATGAGGTAGGGGTGCACTTAATGCTCTTCTTTTGTCAACATAACAAGCATAAATCGTTCAAATCTAATGTTTGTACATTAGAGTTTCTTTCCCCCCCGCAATTATCTTCTGCAAAACCTTTGTACGTTTTCGCTCAAAAGTGAAAATAGCATGAAGGTGATCTTGGCGGCTAGCATATCAGGCAGCTTTGGAGGATTGCATCAGCTTTGTTCCCTTGTTGTTGTTTTTTTTGTTCCTTTATTTTGAATGCAAAATGAAGCGACATTTTGAACCAATGGAAAATGGTAATGTGATGCATTGATATGAGAAAAATAATTTCACACCAAACTTGATCTTGAGTTTGTTATTCCTATCGTGTATTTCATTTAGCTGATTGCATATGAAAATGCAGTCTTGGATTTAATTATTCACACAGTTGCTCTGTGGAAACTTTATGTGCTGTAGATTGACTGCTGCCCATACTTAGAAGAACCTTGGAAGCTGGGCGGGTAAAACAATGACCTGAAAGGAAAATTGACTAATCTTCATTGCATGTGAAAGAGAGCCAAGGTGGCGCAGTGGTTAGAGTGCGGTACTGCAGCCACTTCAGCTGACTGTTAGCTGCAGTTTGGCGGTTCAAATCTCACCGGCTCAAGGTTGACTCAGCCTTCCATCCTTCCGAGGTGGGTAAAATGAGGACTCGGGTTGTTGGGGACAATATGCTG